TGGTGATAGTTTTATCCTACGCAGAAATTTCCTGTAACCCAAGGCTTTGTAGAGGGTGGAAATATTCTTTAATAATCCTAGTCACCCTGTTTTGGGCTATCGTCCATACACCGTCGTACAAAAAAGTTCCAACAATCATAATGAATATCTCTCGTACGATGGCTCGTACTTCTCCCTACAAGGAACCTTCTGTCCTGCCTATGGTAAATTGGATGATGAATGAGTCGGAGATAAGGAATATAAGTGGCGGCAAATAATTAGTACTCCATATCTATGTTTACGGAATGTTTAATTAATGTCTTGAATCTTTGGGATGCATTAGAAGCCAAGTATATGGCCGATGATGCATCTAGCAAGAAGTTTCTTGTGAGTATTTTCAATACTTACAATATGAACGGTTCTCGCCCGGTGATGGAGCAATATAATGAATTGCTCCGGATCTATGGTCATTATAGTCAGCATAACCTGAACATGGAGGAGACGATCGTTTTGCTGAGCATAATCGACAAACTATCACCTTCTTGGAATGGCTTTAAGTACATGCTTAAGCACAAGAAGGAAGAGTTGAATTTAACCCAACTCGATACCACCACTTGTGCATAGAGGAGAACCTCAGGGTGCAAGAGGATGTGAAACAAAAGGAATATTCATCGGTTCACATGATGGAGATTGGAGAATCTTCTCCCTAGGAAAAGGGAAAGAAACATCCTCGTGACAATTGCAACAACTCATCTAAGGCCATAAAAAACAAGCAAGCTAAAACTTCTTGTTGGACGTGCGGGAAACCAGAGCATTTCAAGCGTGATTTTCCCGTGGAAAAAGTAAAAAATAAAGAAAATCGTCATGTTGAGCAAGGATATAATGATCAAGGCACACAAGGGTGTATTCCTACTTTTGATTCTAATTTCAAATTTGATCCAAATTCGGGTATGAATTATGTTTCACTAATTAATGAAATATATTTTGTACAGGATGATGACGTTATTTGGTGGGTGGATTTAGGAGCCCACATACATGTAAGCAAGGATCGGAATTGGTTCAAAACATACAAACCAATGGATGACGGGTTTTTTTCTCCACATGGGCAATGAGTCCACTGCTCCACTCCTAGAACGTGGTACCATGGAGTTGGAATTTACTTCCGGAAAGATTCTTTTGCTTTGGGATGTGTTACATGTGCCTAAGATTAGAAAGAGTTTGGTTTCTAGAAATGTACTCAATAAACTTGGGTATCGTCAAGTTTATGAATTTGATAGATATATTATCTAACTTAGGAGTGTGTGTTGGACTTGGTTATTATAATAATGGTATATTTCTGCTAAATATTATCAATAAAAATAATATTATCTTTACTGCATACATGACTACCACTATCGATTTGTCTTTGTGGCATGCACGATTGGGACATGTGAATTACAAGCGAATGATGACAATGTTTAAGGAGGGACTTCTCCCTTCCTTTGATTCTCAACATGATAAGTATAAAACTTGTATGTTGACGGAAAGCACTAGACAACCGTTTTAACACATACAAAGGGAGTCCAATGTACTTGGACTTGTATATAGTGATCTATCTTATTGACATAACACTCTTACTTTAGGAGGGAAGAAATATGTCATCACCTTTATTGATGACTATTTCAGGTTGTGTTATGTTTACTTGTTGCAAACTAATGATGAATCACTTAGTCACTTTGGTATATATAAAACTGAAGTGGAGTTACAACAAGAAGTAAAGATAAAAACTTTGTGTACGGATCGAGGTGGTGAATACTATGATTCGACTTATTTCCAAGGTACGGGGATCATACATGAAACCTCTGCACCATTTACTCCTCAACAAAATGGGATAGCAGAGAGGAAAAATCGCTCTCTAAAGGAAATGGTTAATGCCATGCTCTCATACTCTGGCTTGAGTAATGGGTTTTAGGGGGAGCTATGCTAACGGCCTGATATTTATTATATAGGGTTCCTAATAAAAGGAATATTATTACCCCCTATGAACTATGGTATAAACGAAAGCCAAACTTGGAATATTTTTGAGTTTGGGGTTGTTAGGCTGTCGTGCGACTAACTGATCCTAAAATGAAGACGTGAGGAGAAAGAGGCAATGATTGCATCTTTGTTGGATATGCTGAAAATTCTACGGCATATCGATTTTACGTTATAGAACCAACATAACGCTTACTCAATTCATTCTATAATTAAGTCAAGAGACGACATTTTTTATGAAAATCGATTTTCATCAATGCGACGACCGAAGGAAATAGTTCCTCATGCTAATAGAGGGATTGATGAAGATACTTCCCAATCAGATTTACCCATTATTCGTCAAAATAAAAGAAGAAAGATTGTGAAATCTTTTGGACCAGACTTTCACATGTATCTTGTGGAAGGGTCAAGAGAGGAAGTAAATTCTCAATATTTATATTCATTTAATATTAAGGATGATCCTAAAACGTTTGATGAGGCTATGAAGTATCGTGACGCTTCCTTTTGGAAGGAAACCATTAATGATGAAAAAGATTCCATCATGGTGAACAATACATGGGTGTTGGTAGATTTACCACCAGAATGCAAACCATTGGGTAGTAGATGGATCTTAAAAAAGAAAATAAAATTGTATGGGACCAGCGACAATTTAAGACGCGTTTGGTAATCCAAGGTTTTAGACAAAACATGGGATTGATTACTTTGATTCTTATGCGCCTGTTGCTCGAATCTTCATCATTAGATTGTTGATTGCTCTAGCATCAATTCACAATCTAATTAACCATCAAATGGATGTCAAGACAACATTCTTGAATGGAGATTTGGATGAAGAGATTTACACGAAACAACCCGAAGGATTTGTTGTGCCCGGTCAAGAGCATAAAGTATGCCAGTTGATCAAATTTTTGTATGGGCTTAAACAGGCTCCAAAACAGTAACATCAAAAGTTTGATGATGTTTTTGTCTAGTGGTTTTAAGCTAAACCAAGTTGACATATGCGTATATGCAAATTTTGATGATTTTGGTAATGGAGTCATCATATGTTTGTATGCAGATGACATGCTTATCTTTGGTACTAATCAAAGACAAGTGGACCTCACCAAAGAGTTTTTGTCATCTAAATTCTCCATGAAGGACATGGGGGAGGCAAATGTGATTTTGCGTATCAAAATCAAGCGAAACGACAAAGAAGTAGCCTTGTCTCAATCTCATTACATTGAGATGGTACTTGCTAAATTTCATTGTGTAAGTTGTCGTAAATTAAAAACCCCAATGGATCAAAGTATGAAACTTTTGCCTAATACTGGGCAATCAGTTTCACAATTGGAATACTCCAATGTTATTGGGTTCTTGATGTATGCCATGACTTGCACAAGATCAGATATCGCATTTGTTGTTGGAAAATTAAGTCGTTATATGAGTAATCCTAGTGTTAATCATTGGCATGCAGTGAGACGTGTACTCGGATATCGCAAAGGCACAATGCATTATGAATTGACTTATAGTGGATTTCCATCTATTTTGAAGGGAACAGTGATGCCAGTTGGATTTCTGATGTTCAAGATCACACTTCAACATCACAGTAGGTCTTCTTGCTTGGTGGAGGTGTCATCTCTTGGATCTCTAGGGGCTGCCAGTTTTCATCTAGCAACCAGACAGTCTGTTCATAGGAAGATCCTGATCAAGTTCATAGTTGGATCGTCCTCAAAAATTGGAGAGGGAGTTCCACACCTCCTATTTGACGATCTGACCGTTAGATTCATCCGAATAATCTCTGGTTCATGGAGGAAAGTCGCTGGACAGAAGGGGTGCGACACTGTTTTTCCTGTAGCAGGACAACAGATTAGAGGTAAGATCCTGTGTGAATTAGTCGTGGGATTGTTCTAGAAATTTTGTATGATGTTAAGTATGTTATGTTATTCAAATTCACCGTTCGGTTCATAGGTTTATTGTCTTAGTGGTTGGGAAAGATTGTTAGAAGTAGGTGAGTTGAATTTGGAGTGAAAAGAAAGTACCTGACAGTTTTGAACCACCAAATTAAAATGAGTCGCGAGCTCAAAAGGATGATCCAAATGGTCTTAAATTTGGGTATGTTGTAGCCCTATGAATCGAATTTCAGCAGAAATAAGAATCACCCGATTTTATTAAGAATTGAAGAAGATATGGCCAGAATGGTAAACTCGGGCAAGGAAACACGGCCAAGAAATGTGACCGAGTTTTGGAACCAGCTTGCTGAGTTTTCACTGCCGAGCGTCGAGGATGAAACTCGGGCAGTAAATCAGCCAAGTTTTGGCTGGGGAATAGGCCTAATTTTCCCAAAATCTTTAGAAAGGCAATTTTTTAAACAAATTTCCATTAGCTAGCAATTTTATATGGAAGTATATGACTCATATACTTGATCTAGATTACTTAATACTTGTTTATGATATATTAGAGGTAAGGAGCAAGCGAAGAGTCTTCATAGGGCATGGGAATTGCCGAGTAACGCAGGGAAATAGTGAGTAGATTCTAACCCTAAATCTATATCAATTCAAATACGGTATTTGGGTCATGAAGCGGCCCTAATACATATAATATATAGAGGTACTCGATTTATGAAGCGGCTCAAGTATGAATTATGGATACCGATTGAGTGAATATGGATGCAACGAGATATGAACTGAATGGCTATGATATGATAAGTATGTGAGTGTGATTATGTGATGATTGCATGATGATTGGATATGATTATGTGTGTGAATGACGTGAAATGTTATAAATGGTGAATGTGAAAGAGAAATGCAATGTGTATGTGATATGAAATGGCCTAAAAGGTTGAATGTCATGATGTGAATGTTATGATTCGGTGAATGGTGGTTGATGATATTCACCGTGATTGTCTTGATGATAATGAATAAGATGACGGGGATGATGTCAATGATATGAGAAGATGTTGATGATTATGGAATGTTGATGAGTATGGGAATGATTGTGATGACTTCATGGTTATGATATTCATGACGGGACTTATGTCACCACAAACAGAGACTAAAGCAAGTGTTGGATTCCAGGCTGGTGTTAAAGATTTTAAATTAACTTATTATACTCCTTACTATAAAACCAAAGATGAAGTGTTGTGAAGTAAGATGTATTCTTTCATGATTTGTGAGCATCTAAGCCTCCATGGAAAGTCACGCAGAGGGAGTAGAAATTGACGATGTGTTAAGTCCTCGGTAAGGACTTGAGTGAGATCGGTTTAAGGCCGATTTCCCGGGCCATGGGAGATTCTCACCGATGCCTTAGTTCGGCGGCGGGGGAGGAGCCTAGGCATCAAGGAGGAGGTGGAGGAGGAGGAGGCAGTGGGGGAAAGAAGCTAGGTTGTGCATGACTAGCCGGAGGGGACTTGCCTGTTGCATAATGTATTTATGTATGTATGTTGCTTGTTGTGTGCAGGTGTCTCGTGTATTTGGGGAAAAGTATAATTGGTGTTGTGATCGATGTTATGATTAAGGATATCAGTAAACTTATATTGTGACTTGGCAAATTAAAGGCTAAAAGACACTTAATCTGGCTAACCCTATTGAGTGTATCGATATGTGTACTGGTGTGAATGTGTGATTGATTTCTAAATTATGCATGGATACATGTATGAAATGCCTTAGCAAGGTTAACACGGTGTGTAGTGGTGTATGGTTGACCGTGGGAATGTGAATGATATGTTGAAATGTTTACTGGCATGACTGAAAATGAGCGAGCTGATGAAGTTTAGCATTGTGTTATGGTTCATGTGATGTGTATTTTGATGAGTATATGTGAATGACTAAATGGTGCCCTAGCACCAACATGTGATTGCCTATCATTAGAGGTGCTTAGTTGCGATATCCTATTTTAGATACCGAATAGTGACATCAGGTGCCTTAGCACCGTGATGAATGGATACTGAAGTGATTGCTACTGAATAATTAAAGAGATAGTTCTTCCATTGATGATTAGAATTATAATTGGATACCAAATTGTTATAAATGGAATAATAGGGATCAGGAGTGAGCAGCAAATGACGTGTAATTAAAGGGTGTCATGCTAAATACCGCTTGTGTATTGTTGTTCATTTAGGTTTAGAATTTACTCATTGAGTGACGACTCACCCTTCGTCAAATATTTTTCCCCAGATCCTGAGCAGCTGTAAGAAGTGCTTGAAGTAGAAGCAATAGCTTCAAGCTTCAAGTTTTGACTCATGAGGTGGGCGGAAGACTGAACAAGTTTCCACATGAAATCCACTGTCAAATGGTTTACCTTTTTGTACTTTGAATTGTAAAGTTTTAGATTGGGCCCGAAAATCCTTTTACAACTTTTATGTATTTTATGTGAAAGCTAGTGTTCAGAATGGGTGTTACACCTATCCTTTGTGATAGTAATGCTACTTTGGCTAAGGCATATAGCCAAATATATAATGGCAAGTCTCGCCATTTGGGAGTTAGACATAGTAAAATCCGTGAATTGATCACTGACTGAGTTATTGCTATATAGTATGTCCGGACTCAAGAGAATTTAGCTGATCATTTGACGAAAGGATTAGCTAGAGACTTGGTTGTCAAGTCTGATAAAGGGATGTGTTTAAAGTCCATATAATTTTTTGATCAAGGGACACCCAATTTCCCACTAATGCAATGTTATAGGCCGAATTCAATGAGGAAAGCTCATTATAAAAAAATTGAAGCACACAATACATCATCTCAAAGTATTTCCTTGTTATCCTGCATGAGATAAGAGGATAAAGTTTAAAACTTCTTAATTGAATCTTTCAGAAACTGCATCATGAGGGTACACAAATAAAAGATTCAACCTACGTAAGCATGAAGTGCAGCCGCCTCATGAAACCCAGACTTTGGTTTCGTGTGCGCTTATGAGAAGGATTGGGACACATGACGGATAATAGAGTCAAGTTTGCTTAGAAGTTGCAAAACTTAAGTCTATATTATCTTCGAATATTCATTTAAGTATATGGGTTCAATTGTTACCGACACTCATATATTCAAATATTCGTCAAGTTTTATATACTAAGATGAAAATTCAAGCATCACGACATTTTCATTTATGCTTAAGTTTTGTTGGAAGAATATTGTAATTTTAGTGAATCCATGAATAAAGTAAAATGGGGGAGGAATGTTGGAAAATTGGATAATCTGACTCTTTAATTTTTTTTTCCCCACCTTTCAAATCCTTTTATGATCATAGACGACCTCCATTATACTTTATTTCCTTCGGAAAATCACTGAGGAGCTCCGTGATGAATTGACAACCCCAACCTCTTAGGAATTTTACAAATAACTCAAGGATTTTTTAGATTGAATTCATACCATGGTTAATAATTTACATGGACTAATCAAAGTCATAATGAATATTTTATTGAGCGACGCTTATACAGTGCTTTTGTGTCAACATCTTGGATGAGTTTCTGGATGGATTCTTGCATCTATCATCTTTCTGTTAGTAGCTTTGACCTATCATATTTTACAGTTCACGCGGAATGATTTTGTTGGGACTTTTGGTACGAGAGAGTATATGTACTACCGCCCGAAATCAGGTGACTAGGATTATGATAGAGTCGTGAACTATATTCATTTTTCGTAAAGAATATTTTCACCGTCTACAAAGCCTTGAGTTACAGATAACAGAGGACAAAGACACACCTATGTGGATAAACCTTGGGCATACAACATAAAATGTATTATAATTATTAATAATAGAAATGAGAAGACTGAACAGCAGACCCGCACGCCAAAGTTGGCAAGCAATGACTAAACAGAGGGATCTACCGGCTAACACTAAGAAAATCCAAACTTGTGAACAAAACAAGACAATTTATTTTAACTAGCAAAAGTCTATTAGCTACCACTTCACGAGTGTGCAAGAACATATATTTTAAAAAGTAATAGTTTTAATGTTGACCAAAGAGTGAAAGTAATTTTATTTCATTCTCAATCTTTCTTTCTATAGGTTTGTTAGCTACTACAGCATATGGTCGAAACGACAAACTTGTATAAGGAACAATGGTCGTCGAGCATATGATTTATGTTTAAACTTCTCTCATGACACTATTGTGTAGGGCTGGCTATTTGGTCTAGGTTTTCTAGATTTACCCGAAACAAGATCGTATAAACCCAGAGCATTTAAGACCGGGACGGGATGTAAAACAATCCAACCCCGTCTTTGATCCTTGAAATAGCCAAAAACCCGGACCAGTCCGTGTTAAAATCGTATAAAACCCAAAAGACCAGATAATAAATAAAACAGGCCCTAGAGACTACAACCCAGCCCAGTCCGTCTACCCTGGCCACCACCCACCACCACCAGCGTCCATCGGCCTTATCTTAAAATTGGAATTACTCTAATGGCCTAATCTCCGCAGCCGCACTCGAACAAAGACACAAACTAGCTCCTCCTCAGCGCCTCCACCAGGCTCATCGTCGACGGTACCGCAATCTGCTCCAGGCTCGTCGCCGTCGGCCATCGTCTCTCCCAGTCTTCTCTTTCGTCATCTCGGGATCCAGGGACGGAGCTAGCTCATCACTATTTCTATTCCACATGAGTTATTAGTACCTCGCCAATCAAATCCTGTTACTGATATTGTGGGTTCAATTTATGGTGATCTTTTGAGTCATTATTCGGATCATAATTATTTGGTCAGGCGAGCTATTTTGGCACCACACCATGATATGGTTTCTGCAATCAATGAATTTATTTTAGCAAAATTTCCAGGAGATGAGGTCACATATTTTAGCTCAGATTCAATTGAAGTGGATCCTGGAAAGGAGGGTGTGGTGGATGTTGATTATACTACTGAGTTTCTAAATACATTGAAGGTTGGTAACTTTCCTGATTATGAACCGAAACTTAAAGTGGGATGTCCAGTAATTTTGATGCGGAATATGGATCAAACAGCTGGGCTCTGCAATGGTACCAGAATGATTGTGAAGACTTTGGGAAAATGGTTCATTGAGGTGGAAGTCTTGACTGGTACCAATGTAGGTGATCGTGTGTTTCTCCCTAGACTTACATTTTCAACATATTACAAAAGTCTTAATTTTACTCTCCTTAGAAGACAATATCCTATTGCTCTATGTTTTGGCATGACTATTAATAAAAGTCAGGGACAAACACTCGATTATGTTGGCTTATGTCTCCAGAGGCAGGTTTTCAGTCTTGGCCAACTCTATGTTGCATTGTCCAGAGTTACAACAAGGCAAGGTCTCAAAATCTTGATTGAGAATGATAATGATGAAGACCTGAACTCGATGCTAAACATAGAACATAGTATTCCCATAAATTTTTGATTGAACTTACAAGTTACAGTGTGGTTTGCGTGATCAGACATGGGATTAATTTGCTATATTTATTCCTTTGTAATACAGCTTTGCTTCTCTTTGGCTGTAAATGTCAAACTTGCTTCCTGTTTATTTAAGCAACTCTACCCATGTCTATTGTTTAAAATAGTAGTAGTGATCTTTATGTTTTATTAACAGATTATTATTCCCATGGAGAACAAATGGATCTTTTGATGCATTTGTTTGGCATTAATTTATTTGGAAGTGAGAACAGTGGAGTCTTATTCCAATTTAGTGTCATTAGTTCTAATTAGGATCTATTTTGATTTACATTTGATATTTACTATTGTTCGACTAGGACTTTTATTTGATCACAATCTGATATAGAAATGGGCTTCTATTTTGTTGTCATTCCCAATTTGAAGATTAGTCACCTCTGGCCCATATTGAAAGCCCACACAAAATTCAAGGGCCAGAAACATGGAATACAATTAACTGGCGGTGAAGCCATAGGGAACCCTAGCTCCATTTTTGTATTTGCGGTAGATTCCACTTTGCTTGGTGCCGCCGGTGAAATCACGTTCCTCTTTCCATCTCCAACCAAATTCCAATCCTATTTGCACCATTCTATTAATCAGTTTACCAATCTCGCCCAAATACATATCAAGTTTAGCGTTGAGGTGAAGATGATTAGGTCTCAGCTGGAACGGGGTCTGAAATTGGGAAATCCAGGAGTCAGAATTAGCTGCATAGAAGAGACCAAGTTAGAAGGCCCTCTCAAATTTTGTGAGTTATATTTACAAAATGAAGGTCATAGTTACCCAGAGTTACAGTTATCTCCATTCAGCAATAATCTTCCGCGGGAATCGTACGAGTGTGTGCAGCTTCTCTCCATTCCGAAAATGTAGCTCTGCGTGGCCGACGTGGCTTTTCCAAAGTTGAAGTAACTTCTACTGTGTTCGGGAAATATATATATCAGCTTAGACACAGCAGTTGACAATTTTCTTTGCTCATTTGTTTTTCTCCCAGGTATCAATTCGCGTTCAATTTTTGTAACTGTATCTAACTGATTTGATGCAATCCCGTAGCTCTTCAATAACCTCCTTTTGTGTTGTTGAGTGTCTAGAATGGATTCCCAGACCATTCGTGACCTTGAGTCGGAGAAGAAGATTTGGTCAGGCCAATGTCGTGTCTCTAGAATGTGGCTTGGGGTGAATGTACATACAGACAAAGTTCTCCATTTGGACCTCATTCTGATGGATTCAAAGGTAATCACTTCTTTCATGGCATATGAAGATTCTGTTCCAAAATGAGTGCTGTTTTTTAAATTTAGTTTTCGTTTCCATTCTGAAGGGCAATGATATCTGGGTACAAATCGCTCATGCGTTGATAGAAAAGTTTAAGAAGTTGCTGAAGGAGAACCATGTTTACATTATCAAGAACTTCGATATCAATACAACTGGACTGAAATATCGACCTATTGGGAATCCATATTTGATACAATTTAGTAGGAAGACAACTGTTCATCATGTTCCTGAAGTTCCTGCAATTCCGACCTTCAAATTCAGTTTCCTAAATGCAAGTCAGATGGCAGGCAAATTGGGTCATGTTGAGATCCTTTCAGGTTACTTCTTCATTCTTACATGTATTTTCAGTTAGCAAATAATGTGTATCTGATTTTATTTTATTAAATGATTTGTTGTAGATGTTGTTGGCCAATTGCGCACACATTCAGATGCAATTACTACTACCAGCCTTACCCGGAAAACTATAAGGAAGGAGCTCACATTGCAACTGATTGAGTGAGTTTCTTTGATATCTTTGACATGAAAGGCATTTAGAAAACTTCTGTTAAATTTGATTGCTCACTATCTGGTTGGTTTTTCTTTTATTTATTGAGGGAGCATTATTGCACTTCCGCCATTCATGTTTGTTTGCAAGATCAGTTTTTGAAACATCTTAGATATTTATTTCAAATTCATGTAGGGTGTCAAAGTAGTTGTTTGGGGAAGAGTTATTCAACAGCTTGATAAGATTATTGATGCTCATGGTGATGACCAGACTATACTGGTCATTTCAGTTGTTAGTGTGGGTGAATTCAAAGGTGACATTATTATTTCTTCCCTATCTTACGTTTAATAATGTTATGACTGGCAAGACCAGACTGATTTTTTATTTTTGTAGATGAGTTATCATTTTCATCATCAGGGTCAACAGTTGTGTATCGTAACCTCGATATTCCAGCTGTCAAAGCTTTTGCTACCGGGTATTCATCACCCTACTGTGTCTATGACATTGTGTTGTTGTTTAGTTTTTGTTTAATTATTGATTTTTTTATTCATGAAATCAGTACTGTGCAACCAGAGCTGCCTGTCTTTGTTGAACCACCGCCACCTCCTCAATTCCCTGTTATTTCACTTTCTGAACTTTTGAAATTACAAGAGGATCCAGACCAGTAGGTTACTTCTATGGTCTTTCATATTTCTTATACTATTTGCATTTTCATTTCATTAGAGACTCATAGTAAATGTATTTGGTATTAGGAAATGGTGTTTGCTGTTGAATGCAAAGTTGTTGGAATTAAATCAGGCTGGTGTTATATGGGGTGTCCTACCTGTGTTTTGAAGCCTATACAAAGGCAAAATGAGTACTATTGTGTTAGATGCAACAAGGGAATATCAGCCAAGGCTGCCAAGTAAACATCTCCTACTTAGTTGACATTCATTATTCTTCCTCATTGAACTGTAATTGCTTCCATTAATTTTATTTGAAATTCGTGATTTGTGTAGATACTGTGTTCAACTTGAAGTTCAAAGTGATTTGAAGTCAGTAGTATTTGTACTCTTTGAGTATGAAGGGAAGCAAAACTTTGGATTGAGTGGTCATGAACTATTCCAGAAAAATGGGCAGAATGGAGACTTGCCACCTGATGAATTTCTTCAATTGGTAGGTCTGACCAAGAAATTCCATGTCAAATTCAAGATCAATCTTTTTACTGATTCCCAAACTGATTTTACTGTGCTGAGGATACTAGAACCCACCCCAAGGGTCAATAGATACCCCTGCAAGTATTTTTCCTCTTTAAATAAGAATGAAGTGTTATGATCACTTTTCTATCTCAGTATTGATCTAGGTTGTAATCTTGTTTTCCCAGTCAAGAATCCTATTATAATTTCTTTACTGGCTAATGTTACATTTGGATATTATAATCTCAGGGAGAAGGTTATATGATTCACAAAGATGGATCATCTTCATCTATTGCGAGTGGGCCTGCATCTTCTCAACCCTCCTCTGATCAGTATGGACAGTCTGCTACTGAAAAATCGATTGAAACACCAGTGGACTCTGATGCAACTCCAGACAACAAACTGAAGAGGAAGATGCCCCTAGAGTGATTGCAACGCCAACAAAGAATTTGTTGCAGCTAGGATCTTTTTATTGCATTTGTTTTGTGTTCCAGAGTTTGTCATGTGTTTGCTAAGGACTGAATGTTGCTGGTTTGCACTTGGACTTAGGATTGTGAACATATTTTAGATTCGTAAGCTTTTTCTAAATATTTCAATTGGGCATTATGTAGCCTATACATATCTAATTTCACTATTACTAAATTTGTTTTGAATTTTTGGATTGGTTCCAAATTCCATACTGATGCCAAAGATGGTCGTGGTTGCATGCCCATTAAGACCCGAGCTGAATTTCTATGGCCCATTTGGTATGGTTTATCAATCTTATTAATTTATAACTTCCTTTGATCTACCAAAATAAGAAGGAAAGAGTTGTCTCAATTGGAATAAGCTGACCCCTTCCACACAACCAATCCCACAGGCCAGCTTTTCTTTGGCTTTTCCAACTGAGAATTGTGTTGGGCTTTGAAATTAATTTGGCAGTATCATTCCGTAGCAACATTTCTCTGCCAGATCGATTCCCTCTTTACCATTACAGAGATTTTCCCCTTCCCCTTTCTTCCGTTCTTCCTCCTCCTCTCTCTCTCGCTCTCTCTCCCTATATTTCTGTTTTTTTTATTTGTGTTAAATTGGTTTGCCAGTTGGCAGTCTCACTACACTATCTCATATAATGAATTGAAGGGATTTGGGACTAAAATGCATTAATAGTAGTACTGTTGTATAACTAAATTAAATAATAATGATTTGGGACTAAATTGGTTTGCCAGTTGGCAGTCTCACTACACTATCTCATATAATGAATTGAAGGGATTTGGGACTAAAATGCATTAATAGTAGTACTGTTGTATAACTAAATTAAATAATAATGATTTGGGACTAAAATGCATTAATAGTAGCAATCAAGTCATATCTACTACGACTAATTTGTTCAAAATACCATAACTAAATTAAATTCATATTTTACATCAAGTACCACCTCAAAAGGATAATAAACTTACAAAAGATATTAGCGTTCACATATCCATTACGCTTACAGATCATTAGAGATTACAGAGAGGTGGACCATTACTAACATTAATCCGATCATATTAATAATACCCAATGCTACTTAGTTATCTAAAGACGGGAACAACTTAACCAAGAAGAGATCAAGATAATTCCCCACGTCGTTCCAAGGACCGAATGTGACCGAGACCTCATATGCCTGCTGACCAATCATGTTGAGAAGTGTAATATAGTCCGCATTTTCAATCTCAGAAGGATTGACAACAGAAGACATGATTCTCCGTAAGTAAGCTGATGGGAACACGACCTCAACATCAGTAATGTCATCTTCAATGGTCAAGTGAATCAAATATGTCTTAGATGCCTCACACCAAGATCTCCTCAACTCTGTTACAACGCCAGAGAAAATGTACGACTTGCCCTGATATAATCCAAAATATAAGGAGTTCAAAATAATACCAAATCAGATGCAAATCATTAAGATAAGAGATAGAGAAGGATAGATAACAAACATGTTATCTTAGTCACCTGATTACCACCATCCAATTGCATTGGAATAAGATCTATAGTTTCCACGGTCTCCCAAATTGCTACCGCAGTTTGATAGTTTAGATTCGTAACGAAATCGTCTCCCATGGTAAAAAAACCTATAATTTAGATTATTAGCAATATTAGCAACTGTATTGAGAAGTTATTAGAACACAAGAATATTTTTATTATGAGTTGGTTAGGAAGCAATTACTTATGGTTCCATTCAGGTATTATATCCATTTTCAAATATATGTCAAATTTATTTCCTTCTACTCAATCTCTATTATTGGAAGTAACTGCCTTTTTTAGGATCATAAAAATAAACAATGTTAGTTGTTGTTTGGGACCACAATGTATATTACACTTCCAATGTTGAATTAATAACTAATTCGTATTCATTTGAACAATACCAAATAGACTCTGATCAATTATATCAACAAAGGTTAGAGTTCTTACACTAATCAACTAATCATGTAAAACCGAATATAAACAAACAATAGCAAAGCAAGACATGACTCTGTCAATCCTTCGATGAATTTTTCAATTGGACCTGAATTTTACTTCTTTTGACTTATTCATCTTTGATTCTTACCTGGATAATCGATTCTTAATTATAACAATATATACTGTTTTATGGATCTCCAATGGAAACTGTTATACCCATAACTGAACTCCACTACGTATTAAACAAACAATATACAATATTTTGTTTGTATGCAACACACACTACGTAATAAGATCCAAGAAAATAATATTGAAATATACGTCCTCAACTATGGATTAATGCTGTGTTGCAATCGAATAAATCATAACTAATCATGTCCCTTATTTTAATAGATCCAACCACATTGTATGAGAAACCATGGAAACAAACACACCTGTGAAGCTCGCAAGGTTTTGCTTGGAGTCTCGAACTGAAACACTTTCTGAAATCTAAGATGTTAGTAGATCGGGAGAAAACAAAGTTCAATGATAGTATTCGTAGTTTGGTTTAGATCTAATACCTTCACATAATCTGGATTCGTTTTGGGAACCGGCGACTGGAGTTATCAGAGGCTAGAAAAAACTTTGCTGTTGTTGAGAGACTGAAAGAAAAGATGTTGCGAGGTAGGATTTTGGGAACCGTCGACTGGAACTGAGAATACAGTCGGTCACGCAGACAGGAGGACACGAAACGGCGTGCATGCAATGAATTTGGTGGCTGTTTGCTGTCTTCGGCGGAGAATGAAGAGAGGCATGGAAGGGAAGAAGGAAGCTGAACCGTTTTCGTCTTTGATGTTGGGTTACTATTTTTTAGTTTAATAAATTTACTCCGTTTATAAAAGTAAAGGGAAAACATTGGGCCTTTAATTAATTTGATAAAGGAAACACACTTTCTACTGGGCCTTCCATTGAATTGCAATATATAGCATGCTATGCTTTATGGCTGGATTCATGGCCCTCTATGGCCCATTTGGAATGGTTCCAAATTCCATACTGATGCCAGAGATGGTCATGGTTGCATGCCCATTAAGACCCGAGCTGAATTTCTATGGCCCATTTGGTATGATTTATCAATCTTATTAATTTATAACTTCCTTTGATCTGCCAAGACAAATGCTCTTTCGGCATTGTTTCATAAATTATAAATTCATCATCCCTTTGTTTTCTATTGGTCCTTTTTCCTCAATTCTGCCCCACTTAAATTTTTTCTCAATTGATCATTTCATTGTGTTTGAATCAATTATTAGTTGGCATCTTTCATGTTTGATGGGGTAGCTGAGATTGGAATGATGGTAGTAATATTTATTATTGAGCACTAGGGTAGCAAGTGAGTTACACTAGATAATAAATGATGAAATGCAAATATGTAGTATGTCCGTAAGTTAATCGTATCACCAGTAAGTTAATCGTATCACCAGTAAGTTAAAAGTTGGAAACCTAAAATTGACAATTTTTTTTTTTGAAAATCACTTTTACAAGTAAAAATTGGTTAGTTTAAAAAATGCAACATAGAAATGTAATAAGTCTGGATAAGGAGATGCAAAATTGCTTGGTAGTCTAACGGTTATAAGTTGATCGTATCATCAATAGGTCGGAAGTTTGAAACTTAAAATTCACAATTTTATTTTCAAAATCACTTAATTTAATCGTATCATTAGTAAGTTAAAAGTTTGAAACCTAAAATTGACAATTTTGTTTTTCAACATCACTTTTAAAACTAAAAATTGGTGTGGTTTAAAAATGCAACATAGAAATGTAATAAGTCTGGATAAGATGTTGCAAAATTGCTTGGTGTTCTAACGATTACAAGTTGATTGTATCATCAATAGGTTAGAAGTTTGAAACTTAAAATTAACAACCATGTTTTTTTTTCAAAATCACTTAATTTAATCGTATTATCAGTAAGTTAAAAGGATAACACCTATCATTGGCAATTTTCTTTTTCAAATTCACTTTTAAAAGTAAAAATTGGTGTGGTTTAAAAAATGCAATGTAGAAATGTAATAAGTCTTGATAAGCTGTTGCAAAATTGCTTAATAGTCTTTCGTATTACAGATCTTTCTTTTCTTGCAATCGAAATTCCTATATCTGAGAAATCCCATCACCAATTATTTCACTATGCTCAAACCTATTGTTTTAAATGTGTGAATCATTGAATCAAGAGTATTTATTTTTGAACTGATTTAAATAAAGTATTCAATTTATTGCTTTGGTAACGTACTCTTAGTAGTAATGAAGCTGATTCCGGCGAATAATCTACACCAAAACAAATAATTATCTATGCCCTCAAACTAATTTCAATCAAGTTCTGATGAGTTGTTACCGCAAAAAAGCTTTAGAGCCCATAATGTTCAATTACTATTCACAAAAACAACCCAAAACTTAAAAGCCTGTTAATTAGTATAATAAAATGGGCCAAAACCAAAGCACAATCAAATTTTGGTCGCCACACTAAGAGGAAGTGAGCAGACCATTTAGTAAGAAAGAAACTCCTATTACTACAAGGAGCAATGGAGTAGAATGATACATCTGAGACAAAGGTAAACAAATTCAAACCACTAGAATGAAGTTAACAATCAAAGTATGTTACGTAAGCCTACAAAAGCCCACTAGTACTGGCTCCATTCTCATGTCAGTGAGCCGTCATTTTCTCCGTGACTTGTGACCTCCTCTTAGTTCATCGTCATGTCGCTTGTTCCGAGGAACCAACTTTGCTCCTCAGTCTGCTAGAGCGCCTGACTGGAGTTATCAATGCATGTCCTTCTCCACCCACATTCTGTTTGTAGATGTCAACCAGAAAAAAACAAGACATTATTATGTATAAGATACACGATATATGGGGAAAGGGAAAAAGATAAAGAGACTTCCTACTTACTTGCTTGGCAGGAAATTTCTCATATGTAGTGAAACTTCCATAAGATTTTGACTCCATTGAGTTACCGTCTTCTGATGAAGCAGACGATTCTCTTCTA